ACACACACACACACACACACACACACACACACACACACACACACTCTCTCTCTCTCTCTCTCTCTCTCTCTCTCTCTCTGTAAACAATCATCAGTATGCCCAGCCACTCCTATACCGGCCCTCTGTCCCAAATGGCCTTATTTGACAAAAGAGGCCGAATTCAACAGCCGCATAAACATGTGGGCACTTTTTAAAAATTTCGATAGTCATGCAAATGGGAACGGCGGCTACGGCAGGAGAGAGGGTTGTTATGAGCAGCAGCTGCTGTAGCTCCCGTCAGTCCGGATAAAGACGATGGTGATATTAGCCGCCATTGTTCGCTGCGAGATTTGGCGTTAAGAATGGCGCCGTTTTCACACGCCATTAAGCATTCAAGACGTTTTTAAATTTCAATTTGCCCCTTCCGCGCCCCGGGTGGCGCTGCGGCCATGAATATGCTTATGGTTTTTACGCTGAAATTTTCTCCTGAGTTACGATACGACGAGTTCTGATATATGTAGACGTATTGTACGCACACACACATGCGTCACGCGCTTTCAACTGCCCCGCTGGTTTTATACAACAGCACCAGTGACGCATAATGTTCAAGCTGATTGGGGGTTGAACAATTAAACAGATGATTTACTGCTACCCTCGCTAAAGTTCACCAAGCGAGTGCATCGTATTTCCAAACATAAATATTCTTACATTTGCAACACAAAATTTCGTTTTCTATACTGTGCACTAAGTCTTATTGATGCTTTCAACAGCTCTGTGCCGCTAGTGCCGTTTATTACGCAAACCAGCAGACTGGCAAAAGCTAATTCAATCAAATTTCTCATGATTCACTCCCTATTATTTTAATTGAAAGTCGGATGCCTCCCCCATTGTCGTAGCGCAGACATCATTCACGGTCGCATATTCATTGTGTCATAAATCATTGTCGAATCAGATCAAATCTAAAGCAGACAAAGTGGCTATCGCTTCATAGTCGCCGATCAAGATGAATAGAGTCGGAGCGCCAGTCAGTGTCGATATCGGTCATGCGTGTCCCTAACATCACCATATATTTGCTGTCACACGGACTACTTACCAACATCTACTAGGTTTGACTGCGTGATTCAGCCGCGGCTTCCGCGGGCACATGCGCGCATCACACGTACGCAGCACACGCACACACCACAACGTACACAGACACACACACACACACACACACACACACACACACACACACACACACACACACACACACACACACACACACACACACACACACACACACACACACACACAC